CCAGAGCGCCAGCTTATTGGTGGAGAGGAGACAGAGTGATGAAGCCAATCAGTATATGGGGATGATTAGGAGGCCATTTTGGCCAGGGTGCCGGGGCCACACCCCTACTCTTTTTTTCTAAGGACATTTTGGGCCTTTTAATGACCACAGAGAGTCAGGACCTTGGTTTAACGTCTCACCCGAAGGACGGTGCTTGTTACAGTTTAGTGTCCACATCTCTATACTGGGGTGTAGGACCCACACAGACCACAGGGTGAGAAGGTAGGTTTTACAGCAGAAACCTAGTTTTCCCAGGAGGTCTCCAATCCAGGTACTACTGACCAGGCTCAACCCTGCTTAGCTTCAGTGGGAAACCAGTCTTGCGCTACAGGGTGAAATGGACTACATTCATTCTATATAGAAAGTACTTTTTAATGTACATGAAGTAATTACTTATTCAAAATAAGTACCTACTCAAGAGAGTACGCAATTTCGAACTCAACCAATGCTTCCCTGCGGCGGCCATTGACGAAATTTCCTGCAATCTATATTGCTTTCACTGTTATAAGGTAGGGGGCGCTATTATGCATCATCTGAAAGAGTACTGAATCTCCGGATCAAAAGACAGGCGAAAAAGAAGCACCGTTTATGCAGCACATAAAATAACACGATCATCAAACATTAAACAGCATATAATTCAAAACTACCTAACATTACCGAATGAAATGTCCTCCCATGACGAGCTATAGGACTGTGCAAACTTTGAGGGTGTTGATGGACTCGTTCTACTTGGCGATGTTTTGATCATTGCTCTGAATCCCATCCAGACATAGTCAAAACTTGATTTTTCACAGCTTTTTGTTCAAAATGTTGCTTTTTTAAGAACGTACCCACAAGTGTTGATAAAAAAAGACTGCAGGAATAAAACTAGAATAAAATGTTCTTTGTTATTGGTGATATATTTCATGATCCGATATTCATAAAACAATAGATTCTGGGGGCCGCGAAAGTTGTGTGAAAATGATCAAAAATGCTGTCGGTGGCTGGCAACTTTTTTTTTAAATGCTGCTGAGGAAACAGTTAAAGTAGATATTTTCAGAAATGTCTCAGTGTTTTTTTTTGTACATTCAATGGAAGTCAAAGGCCTTAAATCCTGTCTGGTTCCCAACGTTCTTCAAAACCTTTTGTGTTCCGCAGAGTCCTGTTTGAAACGACATGAGTGCAAGTACATTTTTTATTCTGTGTGAAATATCCCTTTAACTATGGAAAACATCAATATTTCAACACTTTCTGCCACAGAGTTCACATTTTCTGCGCTGCCTGAAATGCCCTTGCAAATGCCACTGAATAACTTCCAGCTGTCTTGAATTCTCTGTTAGTTGGCCAACAATAAAACATCTTCTAACATGAAAGGAATTCTGGGAAACTAATGGCAAGCTGTCTGGGTTATTAACATAGGCAGGTATGGGTCACTTCACTGAGAACATCTGTAAGCCAATAGCTCGCGTTTCTGAATTCATACATTTCACTGTAATTAAAGACAAAGGCCAGGCCCATAAAATGTATATGTCAGAGACAAACGATTTTTTTATCCTTACATCCTCCATTTACATATTTTATAAAATGAATGAACATTCCTTTAAGGGTATAAAGGAAAAACCTAGACATTATGCAAGATGTCAGGCCTACTCCACGTTCCACATTCATCTCCATGACGACCCAATGATCCAGGTGAAGCGTGGCCTGGCACGAGGACTCCTGTGCCTGCTTGGAGAACTCGAACACTGCATAATGCAAGACAGACATGGCACTAGAGTTTCACCTCACAAACACCCGGCATGAGCAGCGAACAGACTGCTGACTCAGTGTTACGATGACAAAAATATCTGAGTGATAATGTATGAATGCTTAATGTATTAGGATTTTTTTAAAAAACAGTTGGCTTTTGGAACAAGTTGCGTTCACACTTGTAGTTTGGTTCTCTTGGTTCTTTTGATCTGGACCAAAAAAAGAAAATGGTTCGCTTTGCGTTCACTCTACATTTTTAACATCGAGATATAAAACAAAACTGTACTGAACTGTAATGGGCAAGATAGCTCCTATGACGGGATGCACACGACACGGGGGAGTGTGAAAGCGGCGTCCGCGTCTATCAGCGAATCTGTCCATCAGCGGATATATATTAGGGATCCGTTGACAGACGCCTGCTTTCAAACACTTCCGTGTCCATCTAAGCGAACGGTGAAGAGTGTCAAAGATGTCATTGTAGCCAATCTCAGACATATATGTTGAATGTGTCAACATAATGGCCAATCAGAGGCGTTTAAGAATCCGAGGGAATAGAGGGAAATGCTGGTATTGTCACATTTTTTTATTTCAGTACCAACTCGGTACCGAAGTTGGTACATTTTGACAACTTAAATAAAAGTGTGGTTATTTTATTGGCTTGTATTATTTTTTTTTAAATACAGATTCAATAAAATTGTATTTAATTAAAAAGCCTAATATTAAGAATTAGCCTGTGTTCCGGTTCCGTACACACTGCGTAGAATTTTTGTAAATGCGGTTGTCACTACCTGCATTTTTCGGGAGTTAATTCGGTTGTCACTCCTGTAAATTACTGAACTGTGCATGTACAGAACAGGATATAGCACTTCACTACACTATCTAACAACCGATTTAGCTGCAGTGTGTACGTGGCTATAGTAAACTTCATATTCAACTCAAACTTTGCTATTACTTCTTTGAAACATTAGCAATTCCTTCTGGCACAACTACCTCCTCCATCCCCAAGGAGCTGTTAAATTGTTGACATCCAAATCAAGCGCCGTGAGCTGTGGAAAATTAGCAGCCATTAAGTCCGCAGGTAACTGTCAATTTCAGGAACTGTTCAGGGTTTCATCTAAGGGTGCCGCTCTCATTACAATAATGACACATGGCGAGTAATTTAGTCCCATAGGCTTTGTCTAGAAGCTATTTTTGTTCACCATATGAGAGCCTGGAAGAGAAGAGCAGTAATTGCTGACATCTTATATATTGTTTTATATCATCCATATTGTGATTTGGCACAAGGAGCAGTGAAGCTTCCTGTATATCATCAGCACTTCTCCGAACAAAAACACGAGTTTGATTGTGACACCAGCAGGAAATCACGAGCGTCTCAACTATTAACAAACACAGGAGACTTTGATTGTTGTGATGAAATAAAATTCAGTTTTGTGGCTTTTAATCCATGCATGTTATATCTGAAGCAATTTAGCATACTTTATGCTATTGTAGATTTTCTCTTCCAGCTAAACAGACCATAAATATCAGTGACTCATTTGGCACTGGGTGATCATTAATTTTGTCTGAAGTGGTCATAGTTTGGCTGGTTAACATGGTCCAATTAGCCCTATTATACATTTATACAATTATTAAAAAATCAGATATTGTATAAGATTGTCCTATAGTGATATAAAGATGACAATAACAATAACTAGCCTAGCGTCCACACCAAGGGACAATAATGTTCTGTTTACTGATATGATATTGTTCCTCTTCGTCTTCATTGTTATAGCTGTGGTGCGTCTTCCCTGTTCTCATTTAGAAACGATTAAATTATTATTTTTTTTAAACTTGTTCTGAATGGGATTCATTCCAGGGGAGGGGAATCTTTGGCTACGTTCAGACTGCAGGTAAATGTGGCCCAAATCAGAATTGTTTTGTTCATATGTGACAGATCTGTTTTTCTCATGACAGTGTGAACAGATTTTACACTTCAAAGATTGTACATAGTGGAAGGAAAGTGATGTGTCAGAACTTACAAGTATTACAGTGACAGCTCTATAAGCAAAACATGAAGGCTCGTATCATAAATATTTAAAAACTCTGGTCTTTTTTCCGTGTCCTCGTCTGTTTTTTTTATATTGCCTACGCATAAATTCGCTGGCTTCCACGGCAGATCACATTATAAATAAATGTGTAATTGCTTACTTTAATGTTATCGGTTTACACTTCCGTATGACAGCATGCTGCGTGACGTCTTTTTATTGTTATTTTGCACATGCGGGTCAGTCAGGACCAGGATCTGTTCACACTGGAATCTGATATTGACCACATTTAAAACAACATGAAAAGCTATGCAATTTTATATATATATATTAAATACATCATCATCAGAGCGTTAAATCGGATTTGAGCAATAGGGCTCGAAGTGTGAACGTAGCCTTAGTTGCTCCGCTCCACTCATATTCACGTTCAAGAGGTTGAGTCACAAAAATTGTTTAACAAAAATTGTTTATTTTAGTTTCTTTTGAAATTATTTTTGAAACTATGAAACTATTTCTGTTGGAGAAGAAAATATTAAATTTAACTAGCCAATTTTTAATACGTAAGTTATATAAGTTGTCTAAAAGCAATATCACACTCGCCATCGTGCTGTTGGTCTGAATATCCGCACGGCCTTGTGCTTTATGGACAAATCATGGCCATGCTGATATTCAGTACAACAGCACTCCTGAGTGAGAGACTACTTGTTTAGACATTATGCAAGATGAATAGAAACAATGTTTGAAACCAAATGGTTTGCAATAAACAAGATAAAGATAAGGATAGAGAATAACCATAAGAGAATAAAGAGTTTGTGCATTCCCAGGCAAAACCATGACCCACATTTTACTAAAAAGAACAGAAACAGATCCACACTAGCCATGAAGCTAACACTCTCTCTTTATATATAACACACAGCTAAAGCTAGCCAGCTAGTAGGAAGATGTTATATGCAAAAACGACTCAATGCACAAAGACAAAGAGCGGTGGGGGAGAATTAAGAAAATATTTGCATAATCACAAAATCACAGGCTTAATTGTCCCTACAGCCAGGCGCGTGTCCGAGAGGAGCGATCGAGCCTTACAAAGCGACGCAAAACCCAGCACGATGTTTCAAAGCACTAACAAGCCGAGAAGGAGACAAGGGAAGCAACGCAGACCCAAAAAAGCACAAATTGACTCGCATTTCCTGAGTATGCTTCATTTCCTACCTCCGGTTCCGTCCGAGTTTTCGTTTAAACTGCCTGAAGAATCATGATGACTGCCCACACAGCCACCCATGGATGTTTTCATGCGCCTCTTCCCCCCGCGGACCCGCTCTGGTTCGGATTCCCCCCGTCCTCTCTCTCTCTGCTGGGATAGAGATTGACAGGGCGCGGGCATCAGCTGGAGAGAGGCGGGGTGGGTGTATGCACACGCGGCTGTGACTCAAAACCTAGTGTGCTGCCTGCTCACAAAACCAATCGAGACGCGCATATTATGAGGTTCCAAAATGTTATCTAGCTAGGCAGCTCACTAGGTTTTGGGACGCGGCCAATGTGATCGTCGTCTCTAGTATATTCACGGCAAATGTTGGAGTCTCACCTGAACTGGAGGTCTTGGATGTTGTTGGACACGTTAGACAGAATTTTATTTAATTCTTATGTAAAGTTTTTCACATTTTATAAGGAGTTTAATCCATTTCGCAGCTTTAACAGTCTTTAAATTACCATTAAATTTGACGTAAAATCAAAGCACTTATTAAAATGCTTAATTAAAACAATTGAGGGAGGAAAGAATATAGGGTAGAGTGGGGGAAACGCCCCCTTGGGGTAAATTGCCCCACTACGGTTTTTTCCCAAAATAACTAACGTTACTAAGATACGTTTTTGCTGACAAGAGTGATGTAGAAGTTTTCGCTGGCGACGGATTTCACTAATTTTCAGCAGTAAGAAAAAGTGCTATAGGCTATAGTGTTTTACCAATATTTTTTAAATCATGCTTTTTTGCAGAACATTACAGGTATATATTTTATAAGAATGGTAAGGACATGTTAATTTAAGGAAAATATAAATATTTTTAGAATGACACTTTTCCCCCCAAACTATAGTCTGTGGGGTAAAACGCCACAGAATAAAACATTTTAAAAGATGATTGCGCCTTTTTCATCTCGGAATTCTGAAGAATTTTTCTATTTCTATTTCTATTTAAGAATTCTATTTCTCAGAATTGCATGATTAAAGTCTCAATTGTGTGTTATAAAGTCAGAATTGCAAGATATAAATTTGCAATTGGGAGAAATGAACACGCTATTCAGACTTTTTTCTCGCAATTTTGACTTTATAACAACGCAATTCTGACTTTCACGAGTTCACATCTACATATAATTATTATGGTAGCCTAAAGGTTATGCATACTTGGCGTGCTGTCCAGGTGGAGGGCTCCGAGCTCGGAATTTCTGCCCAAACCCAGAGTACTCCCCCCGTTGGTAAGAGTAGATGGAACTAGAGATGGAATTAAAAGTGAGCAGATGGGATGGAGGTGGGATGCTGATAAACTGTCAAGGAACAAAGGTGGGTTCTGCTGTTATTTATCTTGTCCTGAGTTGATTACTGATTGATCTCCACTTGTGCTGATTGGGTTAATTATCTGCACCTGCTCCTCCAGAACCTTGTTAATAAAACATCATTTATAATAAGACACAATTGCGACTTTATATAATGAAAAAAGTCAGAATTGTGAGAGGAAAAGGTGCTACCTTTTTTATTTTATTTTATTTTATTCTGTGTCGGAAACAAGCTTCTTTCCAATATAATTACTGTAGTTGCATCATTACTGTAGTCCTTTGTTTTTCCATCAGTCTAACTAGGTGGTTGAATACAAATATTTGGACTTATATTTAAAAATGACCTCAAGTAATCATCAGCTAGCTAGTTAGCTAGCCAATTAGCATAACAATATTTTTCAATATAGGCTGATTTTCAGCATGTTTCATTAATTAAAATTCATATCTACTGTTATTTTGGCTTGTCTTTTTCATTTTAAGCTAAAACTGCTAACTCTGATTTTTCTGTAAATGTATAAAGCAAATTGCTTTGTCAGGGTGAAAAATGGTGCAAATTTTACTTTTTACAAATTACATTTTTGTTAAAAATCTAATAACATGATCCACTCTGGACATTTTTCATACTTGGTTATAATTTATGTCATTGTCACTGAAACCAGATTCCTTAAGACCATAGGCCTACTCAAACGATGTGGTCTTGATAGATAATGTAATACGGGTGACATTAGTGTAATACTGGTGACAAGTTGTGTAGACTAAAATAAATTGTGCCTGGTATACAAAGTTAAAATTTAATTTCAGTTAATTGATTTCTGGAGTAGCATTTGAAAAAGCCAAAAGTCAAACATTTCTGGTCACCACATAGCCTAATTTCCGTCCATTTGTGATATTTTAGTTCTGATGACTTTACCGTTAAATTATGGAAAGGAGTAATAATAAAGGACGAGTATATCCAATCTGGTATACAACAAACATGAAAGATAACTGATAATGATTTGAGATTAATTGATTAGGCTACTGTAATGTTATTGATTATTTGATATATTTGTTAATGATTATTTGATATTCAACGTTTTTTTTACATTATATTTATACAATGCAAAAAAAATATATACATAAATTTGGTTCCCCTTCAGTCGCTCACGTTCGACGTGACGTCGACGTGACGACGTTAGGGGATCACTTTAGGGAGCCCTATCAACTTCGAGTATCTAAGAACAAGCCAATGAACGTTGGCGTGCGTGAACGCGTCACGCGTCACGCGCCCCCGCCCCGCAGCGCGGGTATAAAACAGGAAGCGGGCGCGAGCACCCACCGTCTTTCATTTCGGAGCGCGAGTTTCCTGTGACTGATGTCTAAAGATTCAACGCCTTTGAAGACTTCAAGGAAGATCTCTGTTCCAGTGTTGGTGTGACGGCGCGATCAGCGGTGGCCGCGAGCAGTGCAGCTCTCAACTGCTGTTCTCACAGCACTATTGTTTGTGTGTGTGTGTGTGTGTGTGTGTCCACACAGTGGCTACCCCTGGGCGCCTCAGCACTGTGAGAGTAATTTCCTTTTTTATTTTTACTAAAAGAGCAACACAAGCGGACCCTGCGTCTTTTTCAAGATGTCATTCCGCTTGTGCGTTTCTGGATGCAGTCGTTCCCTGGCGCCAGCAGATGGCCACAATAGCTGCATCTCGTGTTTGGGCATTCGGCACGCTGAAGCAGCTTTTGTGGATAGTTCATGTTCCCATTGCGGGAATATGACTATCACAGCACATAGATCGAGACTCGCTTACCTTAAGGGAGGTGCAGTCCCCTCGCCTATGCCCCGATCTAGTGCTTATTCTGCCCCGCAGAATAGGCCTACTTCGGCGCATGACCAGGGTGATCTGAGGATTACCGTGAGGGCTTCCCCGCCGAGGCAATCTCCGCGGGCCCCTCACGCCTCTCATGTGCTGTTGCCATCGGCGCCCCTTTGCGAACGGCTCGGTCCTTCTCCGGAACGACCAGTCGTTTCCTTTGGGGCACCAGCTGACGATCAGATGTCGATCGCAGCATCGGAGGGGGAGCGGTCATCTGGAGATGACGACTCGGCTGCGTTGCCCCCTTCGGGGTGTGTAGCGTTGTCCGAGCCGGATCCAGAATGGGCCGCTATGCTATCCCGGGCCGCCGAGAAGGTCGGGCTTGCGTGGAATCCTCCACCACGTCCCGAACCTTCTCGGCTGGACGATTGGTTTCTCGGGGCGGGCCGTGCTGGTTCTCAGTGCGCCGCCCCGGTACCTTTCTTTCCGGAGGTGCATGAGGAGCTTTCTAAGACGTGGAAGGCACCCTATAGTGCCCGAAGCCGTCCTAGTGGCTCCTCTCCCCTCGACGGCGGGGCAGCTAAGGGGTATGTGGGGATCCCCCCCAGTGGAGCGGGCTGTCGCGATGCAGTTGTGTCCGGCATCCGCCTCCTCCTGGCGGGGTGACCCACGCCTCCCGTCCAAGGCCTGTAAGTTCTCGTCCGGTCTAACGGCGAGGGCTTACAAGGCTTGTGGACAGGCTGCTTCCGCTCTTCATGCCATGGCGCTCTTGCAGGTCCACCAGGCCCAGGCGCTCATGGACATGAACGAGGGTGGTTCTGACCCAGAGCTCCTCCGGGAGCTCCGTGTGGCAACCGACCTCGCCCTCCGGGCGACGAAGGAAACCGCACGTTCAGTCGGTCAGGCGATGTCCACCTTGGTGGTCCAGGAGCGCCACCTTTGGCTCAACCTGGAGGACATGAGGGACACCGATAAGTACCGGTTCCTGGATGCCCCTCTCTCCCAGGTTGGGTTGTTCGGCGACGCGGTCGAGAGCTTTGCCCAGCAGTTCTCGGCCGCACAGAAGCAGACGGAGGCCATCCGACACATCCTGCCCCGGCGGACCGCTGCTGCTCCCACCCGCCCGCCGGCCGCAGCTCCTCCGTCTACTCGTCGCCGAGGTCGGCCTCCTGCGGCGTCCTCCGCTCCCGCTAGGCCCCAGCAGCAGCCATCATCCAGACCTCAGCGTGGAGCAAGCCGCAGGAAGTCGACCCCGCCCGTCCAGGCCGCTGCCAAGCCAGGAGGCAAGCGCCGGTGCAAACATCCCTGAGACGGGCGGCCCAGAGGTGGATCAAGTTGCTCTTCAGGAGATGGCGGACGTGCCACTCCTTCCCCCGGTGGAGGGCCGGGTGGAGAATCCTTTGTTTCCTTTTCTTTTTGTTCCGCCACTGACCCACGGGTCAGTGGTACCCACCTTTTCAAAGAAAGAGCAATTTCTGAAACCTCTGGGCCCCAAGAGGGCGCGCTTGGCAGTCGACGACGCTATGCCTTGTCACTCCCGAGCCCCTCTTCCATCGCCAGCGGGCAGCAGTGGCTGTGTCCTGGACGCACTGTCGCCTCCGCACACTCACTCTGCCCTCCGACGGAAGCAGGTACGTCTTGCACCACACGTTCAGACCCCACTCCGGGCCGCTATGCCGCCCGAGTCGGGTCCCTGCATTCCGTCACGCTGCCCCACTCCGGGTACGTCTGTGGTGCCGTTGGTCCCGCTTGCTCGGTCTCTGGGAGCTTGGCTAACGCTTCCCAGTCCGTCTCGCTGGCTCATCCGTACTGTCAGACTCGGCTATGCGATTCAGTTCGCCCGGCGCCCCCCTGTTTTCAGGGGCATCCTGTTCACCCGTGTTCTGGCGGACAGTGCCCCTGTTCTCAGAGCGGAGATTGCAGTCCTACTGGCGAAGGACGCAATCGAGCCAGTCCCTCCAGCCGATATGAAGACCGGCTTCTACAGCCCGTACTTCATTGTACCCAAGAAAGGAGGTGGGTTACGGCCAATCTTGGACCTGCGCGTCCTGAATCGGTCCCTTCACAGGCTACCATTCAAGATGCTTACGCAGAAACGCATTTTCAAGTGCATCCGTCC